AAATGTGCAATGCTTACGTTATGTCGGAAAAAATCATCTATCGTCGTCGTACTGCGATAAAAGCCTATATAAACAATGTTATTATATTTGACAATATTTGACTCGATGTCAATGACGATGTGGCAGCGCCACCTATAGAGATTCCTTATTGAAATAAGTGGAACTATTGAGTGCGTACACCATATCGCACGTAAATTTTCAACATGGCAGCGCCCATAGAATTGAAAAGTTAACCGATTTCGTAGTCACAAATTATCGCTGTACGGAACAGAACATATACAAACACCAATGCAATGTCCATATAGATTGTACATTTGGGCATCTGTTCACCCTCTGTATCACCTTTATTAATGAGTAAGCTACGCAGCGTAATACAAAAAATGAACAAAATCACAATATGATTGATTGTCCATTTCAATCTTTAATGAGCGTGCATAATACGCTATCAACGACGCTTGGACGAAAGATTTTAAATACGTATTGAAATGAATTGCTATTTATTTGCATTGCTCACAAATTGTTTTTAATTGTTATTGGAAAGTCTTATATTTTATCGATTCGATTACAACACCCGCAAACAGACAGACGAACATTCTTTTTTGAAAAGTACAACTAGGTCGTAGCTGTTAATTATTATCAATAAAACGAATATTTTGCTATCTTTATACGTGTGCTGTATCGTTTTTATATTGTTTCGTTCAAAATTTATGCTTGATAAATCAATGAAAAATCTGGCCATAACAATGTCCGCATTGAAATGATCACACAAGACAAAATCATTTCAAACAAAAGCTTTATTGTTTTTGATGAAGCATTCCTATCATATTTGTCCGTTTTGCTATTTTGTTGCCATATTTTTTGTTTATTTTTGGGACGATAACAATATCAACTCACTGAACAAGGTTATTTGAAAAGAGCGACTCCAAGTGTGATGGCAAAAGGAATTTCGACGGAAAACAATTTAAAAAAAAACAATTTTCAAAATATTTCTGAAGTTGATCCAGACATTGTTGCTATGTAAACATGATAACAGGTATATACATATATATATCAGCCGCCAACTAAAATTTTATTTTGATCTTCTAAGGCATTCTTACAATTGATGCACAGCGATTGACCCCAACGGTATTCTGAAAGTGTGTTGCTCTGTTGCTATTGTCGTTCAATAGTTCAATCTTCAATAGTTTCACGATGACCATCATGCTAGTCTCATTTGAAAAACATTCGAGACCAATGAGCTGATATTGTTATGTTCTCAAAAACACACAAAAAAGCTGCTGCTTTTCCGTTCAACTTCCAAGGACACTCGAATAAGGAACAACAATAATAATAGAGGCATGGGGATAAAGTGGTAAAACTAATTGAACTATTGGGAAATATTTTTTTCAAACGACTTTGTATCAGCACTCAATGTTGCTCCGCAATTCCGTTTTTTTAAAACTTATTTGTCAGTCGAGTTATCATTCGAACACGAACGAACAAAAAATGATCAAAGTTCGTTCGTAATAGTTGGCTTATTTACATTCGTTCATTTGTTGCAAAGGAATTTCGAGAGGCACTTGAGAACTTTTACGCTATCTTCTATCAACGCTTTTCAATAAATATTTTCGATCGATATAAAGTTCTTTTATCTGGTAACACAGTTAGTCCGTCGTGTAGTACAATTTTAATTGTATGGGTTCAAACCGTTTTAATATAAAAGACCTTCAATTGTCACAGTGACATCAAACGCTTGTGCGAAATTTCACCGTACGGTCTGAAGAAAACGATATTGCAAAAGTTTTATTGATCAAGAAGTGAAAAATGTTACCAATTCTGTACTTGTTACTGTGTATAGTGGCAGTTTCCTTTGCTGACGACTGTTTGCCATCGATAACAACGGCCAGTGGTTCAAGTGCTCCACAGAAAATTTGCTCAGGTCAATTAATATTTGAGGAGAATTTTGACAGTTTAAACAAAGAAATCTGGAAGCCGCTATCGACATTCTCAGATGGTGGTGTAAGTCAAACGTTAAATACTTTAATAGATAAAATGAAACAAATGTGATGATCGTTAATTTTTCAATAGAATAAAGAGTTCCAATGGTATGTGGCAGATGATGAAAATAGTTTTGCGATGGATGGAAAATTGCATATAAAACCGACGTTAGCAGCGGATAAAATTGGTAGTGATGCAGTCGAAAGTGGCTACATTCACTTAGATGATTGTACCGATTCCAACAATGCGAACTGTGAACGTCAGGCTGGTGGAAATATCATAATAAATCCGGTCCGTAGTGCACGTTTGACAACAGGAAGTTCGTTTTCTTTTAAATACGGGCGTCTTGAGGTGATTGCAAAACTTCCTCTTGGCGAGTTGCTGTGGCCAGGTCCAGGTTCCAGGTTCCCCAATATTAATACCATTTTAAAATATAACATAACTAAATGCAAATTCTATTCAATCGATCAGCCGTTTGGCTTTTACCTACGGGCTGGCGCTACGGAGGGTGGCCCAGGAGCGGAGAGGTTGATTTATTCGAAGCTCGTGGCAATATTAAATATGGGAATGATGTTCAGATCGGTGTTGAGCAAATTGGAATGAGAATCCATTATGGCCCCAATTGGGATAAAAAGGCATCGCAAGGTTATGAGAAAAATAATGCGGCCGGTTTTCACAGCGGTTTTCATAAATATGAATACCTTTGGGATGAGACTGGAGTGAGATTCCTTTTGGACGGCTCTCAAATTGGGCACGTTCCAGTTGCCGATGGATTCTGGAAACGAGGTGGTTTTGACGGTGAAAATATTTGGGCATCAGCAACAAAAATGGCTCCCTTTGATCAAGAGGTATGATATGAGTTCACCAATTAAAAATCATTATTACGTTTTTTTTTCATATATGTATGACTTTTTTGCAGTTCCATCTAATAATCAACTTAGGTAAGAATTGTACACATGTGGAAACGCCACTTGTTGTTTCAAACATAGCATTTATTTTGGACGGAAAAATGCTTAATAGTGTACCGAAAGTATTCATTTTTGAGTATAAAATAAGATTGATCTAACAGCCATGGTTCATCGTGTTTCAGTGTGTCACTATAGCCCAACTTAACTTATTTTTGTACTCCTTCTTTTGCCACAATATTTCTAAACCTAGCGGTGGGAGGGACATTTTTCCCAGATGTAAATTACCAAAATGGACCACGACCATGGACAAATAATTGGGCGACTGCAATGAAAGAATTTTGGACAAATCGCAATCAATGGCTACCATCATGGGAAAATAGAGAAAAATCTTCTCTTCAAGTTGATTCTGTCAAAGTTTGGGCCATTTAAAATGCGCAAATCTGGAATTGGGTGTATTATGATATTATGCTCAAATTTTATAGTTGCAAATAAAGTGTTAATGAGTGTCAATGAAATTTTCTATGTTTTATTTCTGTCAAATGCAGACATACATTTATGTAGAGGAAAATCATTGATCTATTGAAGCCAATTAGGGCATAAATACAATTATCAACAACGTCCAATCGGAAATATTGGCGCCGTGTACTCTTTATCGAACTAGACTTCTACAATCATAGTCGCCACCAACGTAGATTAATCCATGCAACGAGGAAACATGAGCGTTCCTTTCCCGAGATAGCAGACGAATCATCAATTTTTGGTGAAAGTGTAGATAATTTTCATTATTCCCCAATCCAAGGTCCACTTAATACCGCTACAAACCTAGCGACAAACAGTAGATCAATACAAATGTGGCATTACATTAGATTATGCATTGATTCAATGAAATTGAACGACTTCATTTTTTTCTGGTTTTTATGCGATTTGTTCACAGGAGATTCCTCTATTCACTTCCCCTATTCAATCCTGATGAGTGGAGATGCCGGCAACCATTCGGCAATGTCCGAAGCACAATGACCATTTGAAGCTTGCCCAAAAAATAGCCACAGATTTGAGAAAACCAATGGTAATCTATGATGAGCTAGTTGCATTTTTATCGAATTGAACCAGTTCAAACCATTGTGACAGATAATTTTGGTTAAAATAGCTTTTAAAATTTCTCAACAAAATCACATTTTCAAATCAAATTCAAAATCGTCAAAATCAACAAAAGATGGAATAATAAAGTAAATAACCACTTACACTTATCTACAATCCAAACAATAAATAAATTTCAAAAAGAAGAAAAAAATATGAAGCAGAGTCAACGCCGTTTCGATAAGAATACACTTGAATGTAGCCAATCAATATTTGTTTGTTTAGTCTGGATCCACAAGTTGTCCTCTTACATAATTCTTTACTTTTTTTTATCACAATAACATGACTAGATAGTGCAATCGTTTTAATTTATGATTTCTACGTTTTATTGCAAACATTCATAGAAAATTCTTCATTAATTGTGCATGCATCATATTAAAAATTATTTTAAGTAGAAAAACAATGAGAATGATTCAAAATGTTGAACATTTGTGTTAAATCTTAATCTAATCGGTTGCATTCTCTGTGATTTCCATTTTGAATCCACGCTCCAAGATCGATGCAACATGAGATTCTTTGCGATCTGACAAATGATGATGTGCTTCGATTAGTTTGATGGCCAAATCGACGGGATTTTTATTGAATTTGCATGCGGCCACCGCTTCAGTTATGGCTTTTGAATGTGATCGATTCTCTGGTGTGACATATCCATTTGGTTTAATTACACCTTTTTTGAATGCTTCTTCTTGTTCTTCAGTCCGTGGACGTGGGATCACACCTAAGAAGCTGCAGTAAGCATTCTGTTCTGCTTCATTGTTAAAGTACATCGAGCCGGAGAAAATTCCAATTTGAACTTCATCACAAATATTAATTCGTGGAATCTCTTCGGTTATGCCTGTGACTTGTAAATTGGTTTGATGTAGTAAATTGTCGTGCAATTTGCTGAGTCTCGATCTGTACATGCACAAAACAGATTGTTGGCTTTCTCTGAATGTAGAAATCAATCGATCGCACTCGAAAGAGCTCAAAAGAACCAGAATGTAGTCATCATTTGCTGGTGTGTTAACGCGTGCAATCCACCAAACTGGGCGCAAGTAGTCATCTTTAGCATTTGAACGATCCGATAGGACTTGAACAAAGTCTTTGGATACAAACAGATTCTTTGACCATGCACGTTCATTCACGTATTCTTGATTCAATTGGGTTTGAGCGAGTCCAATGGCGAAAAATACAATTGACCCTTTTCTCTTCAATTCCGACAAGAGTCCATGATTGGCACCAGACAATATCAATTGTTTGAGTTGCTCATCGAATTCAGGTATGGCCGGATTCATTGCAGCCGGTCTCTCGACATGACGCTGTTCTTCGTACTCATGCTCCAATTCTTTTTCCTGTTCCTCATCCAAAGCTTGCATAAATCGCTTGACGTTTGGTGCATGATTCATTATCTTATCGCAAACATCTTCTTGCACTCTCACAACAAACGGAATCACATCTTCTTTTGTTTTATCTTCTTCATTCATCGCTGATTTGAATCCTTTGACCAATTTATCGAATTTATTCCGTGCTATATCAACCAATCGCGCGTCCTCCTTATCACCGTAAACTTCTTCCAGTTTTACATACTCACTGTCAACGCAAGTGTTCAAGAGATTCTTCAACGATGCTTCATCATTCGAATGCTCGTGCAATTTATGGCCAACCAACTTCTGGGTGTAGTTGTATGCGCCTGCTGCCCAGTGAACAGTATGTTCCGTTTCGAAATTTTCACTGTTTCTACAGATGAACTCGATGACGTGCTGATTGGGAAGGCATTCATGAGGTAGAGCGAATTTACAGAGTATTTGTATTTTCACATCAGCTTCGAATGATGCCCAGAATGCAATCGAATGGCCTTCCTCCTGACCCAATTCTCTCATTCGCATGCATGCTTGCACCGTTTTGTCACGCGTGATATCGCCAGACAAAGTGACGCATGCTCTCCAGTTTGGTGGGAATTTCAAGTCAGTTCCTCGTGTGTGCACATCATCCAAGTAGACTAAACATCGGCCTAAATTTTCACGGTACACCGAACAATCGAAGTCGGTTATGACACCATTTCGATCGATGGTTTGAAGAATGTCACGAGAATCGAAGTAAATCGCAGCATCGAAGGAATTATTTGGAGCCAATTCCAACCACTTTTTGGCTACTTCCAAATTATTCAACTCCAGCATTAATGCTCCAGAATCCAACAGCACCGGAATCTCACGTTCAACCAATCGCTCGATTATTTCCTTTCCACTGACATTTGTCGGTAGGCATTCGTAGTCTTGATTCTCCGATCGCAGCAGCATTCGGCAAACGTCTTCGTTTGTGCTTTCGAGTTCAGGAAGATCATTCTGTGCGATTGGCAGCGGCAGAATGTTTTTGGTATCGTTGGTTCCACTGAAACCAGTAACTGGATGATGCATGTGGTCGCTGCATAAGTCCCAAGCCGTGCACATTAGCTTCTTTTCAAAAGTCTTTGCTTCGCGTGAAAAGACAACGTTCGATAGGAAATAATCAATGACATGCATATTGAAGCGATAGACTGGAAACAACTTCTTATCTCGTTGCTGTGGATCACTTAAATTGACGCTGGTATGGGTTCGAATCGAAACATCGATCAATTTGGGTGATACACTTTTCATCCATTTCTGGTAGATTCCGGTCGCATCTTGAGACACTGACAAAAGGTTGAATGTCTGTTTCAATTGATCGTCGGAGAGTCCTAGAAAATGTAAAATAAAGTTGTATGTAATAAACTGGAAATTGATCTTAGTCAATCAAAATTCAAAATACCTGAATAATAGTAGCTCAAGTGTGTAAAGCACAATGCCACATCTGGATGTCCAAATTCAGTCATATCAGCTGCAACATCCTTAGCTTTGAAGGGGATTGCCATTTCTCGTAGACCATTCTCACTGACACCATAATTCACGCGCCAACGTCGCATCAAAACCAATTTCAAGACTTCAAATCGAAGTAATCCGCACATAACCATGATGATATTGCGTTCGCTCAATGAAAATTCTTTCAAAATCTCCATGAACATTTTCTTGTTGATATTTTTCTCGCTCAGCAATTGTCGCAGACCTTCCTTGGCTGATGTTAGCATTTCGGGAAATGCGATATTGATGCGACCATTGAGAAAGTCCTCGATTAGATACGATTTCAATACATCAAAAACTGTTTCATCCAAAATCCGACATGGTGTGAACACATCGGAACGATAGACGACTTTTGGCGCTCCAAACACATGACCTTTTTCAATGTATTTCTCATCAAATTCGATCTTTTCCGGACCAAGTTCTGCGTTCAGCTTCTTCATGTGATACGGAACTCGTTTGAAGACAGCCTGAATAACCATCCAACGATGTGCACCTCCATCCAGTGGCAATTGATTGCCTAAAGTGTAGATAAGTTGAAACTTTGCATGCAAAATTGCATCCGATTCATCCAAAATGCTTCGAACATTCATATTAATCCACTTGTGAATATCCAAAAAGTGGGTTGCGGTTTCATACTTTGACTTTTGTATCGATTCATATGTCTTCAACTGGAATGACAGTCTCCATTCGGGTGTTGCAAGAATGATGCCTGCAGGATATAAAACACCATTTAATTTAAGATACGAACAACTCATTGAAAATGTTTCATTCAGTTAGTATCCACTCATCTAGCTTAATTGCAATAAGTTCAACTTAAATTACCTTTCATCCGCTTGCATTCCTCATAGATGTTCATCATTTGGCCGACAAAGTTTGCGATCGGCATGTCTCGACGGCATGGAAACAGATACATTCGTCTGTTCAGCATTCCGCCCAAGTATCGGCGATATGACTTAAGATTGGTTGCGAAGAGTGATTTCAATACGGTAATTTGACATGCCTGTTTGCCATTGGCTAATACCGCTGCTATAATCGGCGCAATTACTGCCGTCTTTCCTTCACCCATGTTCAACTGCATCACCGAGTGTTTCTTCTTGTCATCCGCGCCTTCGTTTTGCGATGGGTTCATCATATGGTTTGCCACATCAACTTGAACTCGACGGATCGTGAGATTTTGTTCGATTTCAAACAGCAACCATGCTGGGTAATCGCATGGCTTCCAGTTCTCATGGGGCTTGTTCTCGATTTCCTTCTCCAGTGCCACTTTGAGTTGCTCTTGCTGCGAGTAGATTTCGATGCGTTTTTCACGCTGCTCATGTGCTATTGTTATAGCCAAGGCACCAACGATGGATCTCAAGTCACTATTTCCCTTCGATGTGATTTGTGGTAGAACTAAGCTCGGCACTGCCCGCGGATACATTCCGGCTTTGATCAAATGTTGCGAATTCATACCATTCACAACTCTCTCGTAAATCGACCACCACTCATCTGATGATTTGCTGAGTTTTGATGTGCCATACCAGATCCTCTTTGCTTCTTCAATCGTATCTTGAAAATCACCGATGCACTCACACATTTTCTGTTTGAAGTCTATCTCATACTTTTCCCAATTGATTGGATCTGGTATCGAGAGTGACTGGAAGATCGGCAACTTAACATAGTTAGAGCCATTCAAAGATATCAACGTCTTTTGAACGCTATCGATGAATCTCACAAGTTTGCGATTATTGTTCCAAATCTTCAAATTTTGACTGATGACAATGCTTGCTGACTGAATGTCGATGTCATCAATGAGATGGAACATGCAATAAGGTTTTAAGTCAATTTCATCACAAGGCCACTGGGATGTCACGATACCGACCATATACTCAATTGTCCTCTTTATGCGTTGATCGTATGTATCACGGTCAAATTCATCACTGAAATACCCTTGTGGCAGCGTATGATATCGGTCCAATATATCTCCTATTTTAGTTTCACAGTAATGAAGTACATCAGTATCGAAACTACCTTCACGGAGAATGAAATGCCCAACTTGTGGAGGAATTATTGATTCAAAAACGTGCGGATGCATGGCAATTGTTTGCAAGGCCAAAATCGGTGTAAATGATTTCTCTTCATGCGCTAAAACACTCCAAATCAACGTAAACTGTTCGTCATTTAGTTTGCCTTGCCGTGCATACTCATACAGAGGGATCCACAGATCGACAAACTTCTCATATACTTGATGTTTTAGCAAATTTTTCACACTTTCCATATTCGCTGTGCCATCCAGTGTTTTATTCTCCAGAAGAAATTGCGGCAAATCCAAAGCATTTGGTACTTTGAATGCTTTGCGATGGTAGAGATTCGAAATAATTTGTGTTTGTTTACATAAAACAAATGGTGGTGTTTCAATCGACGAGGTTCTTTGTGTTTCGTGATGCAAAAATGTGTCAGACACCTTGAGGTTGGGCATCAATGACAAGCATCGAAGGTATTGTCGTTTGTTCTGGCTCAATTGTGATTCATTTTCCAGTTGAGCTTCTTCTGATTCGGCACAGTTCACATGTTCATTTTTGTACAATCCACGCAATCGTTGGCTATCTTCCAATAGTTGATGGGCGATGAAAACAAATGTGTCTTGCGCCGAATGGGGTGGAATAAAATCTGGCCAAGTCACTTGTTGCCATGACTCTTCTGTCTTTCGTTCTGGCGATAACTGTGCGATTAACTGTAGCATTTTTGTGGACTCTGCGTCGTACGGAGCCGAAGACCATGTGAAACCTGATTGTAATATTTGCAGTGCGCGTTCAGTGCCCGACATTTTAATGAATGGCTCCACTTGGCCGTGTGATGTCACTGCGTGCAAGTAGGCCAGGTTAAACCATGCTGAATAGCTACTGCTAGTGGCTTTTAGCTGACGACAGAAGTCATCAACTTGATACACGTGGAACGGAGGATTGTACAAATCCGACTCAATGTTGATTTCGACGGAGACATGCGACTGTGAACGCTCTGTTCGAATATTTCCGTGTGGAATGAGCAGCAATTTGGTCGATGTTTTTCCTGTGCTGACTTTTTCGAATGAATTTTCGCATGGAACACTTTCCAGCAATAAACCATGTTGTAGTCCAAACAAAGTGCCACATTTCTGTGTAAGACTCACACGCATTCGACTGTATTCATTCGAGATCAAGTCGTATGTTTCGTGCGACGTTGAGCAATCAACCACGAATTTCAGGTGCATTCGAATCAATTCCGCTTTCGCAATTTGCGAATTATCCTTGTCCATCAACACGTGAATATATTTCGGAGACTCAAGTCGTGACAATTGTTCTACAATCTTTAAATAGCTGTTGCTGTTGATATCAAGCATATATCGTTGGGTTTTTATGTGAATCAATCGTTTTTCTTGCAAATCCAGTCGATACTCAATGCCGTCTTCCTTCGAGAAATTTGCGTCGTTGAACAGTTTTGGCCGGAATTCGATGACATTATCGGTTTTATTCCAGAAGTGGCTGTAACTGTCGATGAGATGATGTGGAATTTCATCGTCTAAAATTGAATGAGGAATCAGTTCACGCTCAACGCCGTTTTGTTGCTCGATGATCACAGTTCCATTGCCCACACGACGAAATTCGTAGCTGCAATCGTTGTACTTTTGTACGGCCGAGAAACTATTTTGTGAGTCGGGCTGTACTTCAAAAATGAAGTCGCCGAACACTCGATCGAACAGTTCGCTTTGGGTTATGTTGCTTGGCAAACGAGCCACTGGCAAGCTATTGACGAGAAAACTGCCTGTTACCAAATCGATTGTAACAAAATTGGCAACGTCTTTTACTTTGACGTGAATTACAAAAACTTGCGGATTTTCTTGGTGAAAATAGGATTGTTCGAATGTTCCAGAAACGGATCGGGTCCATTGCTGCTTTACCAATGCGTAGACATCCTTTGAACTGTGCTCGATCCTTGGCCGAATGGTTGATTCGATGTGAATGCCTATGTTGCGAACGAGACGCAGGAACATTTGTACACTTGCTGACATTTGTACCTGTTTTACATTCAACAGCACATTGTTGCTTAACGTAACGACAAACTGAAGCCAAACTCGAGGCGCTGTGTATCGTTCATCCTTTTTGGGTGGCAAACGTTGAGTTTCCACGAAGATTCTCTCGAAGTATTCATGTTTTGAATGTACGAAAAATGTGACGGCTCCAGCTATTGCAACTTGCACCAATTTCATGCGTAGCTCTTGTTCGCTGGTCAAAAGGGGACTTTTGATTTCGTTGATTGCCTCTTCGATTTTATCTATCCAGTCCAATGCGATAGCTCGAATTTTTTTGAGTAGCCGAACGATTAGTTTGGCTACACTTTCATCGCTGTTTATTTCAAAGATTCGCACTGCAATGAATGCGGCCATCAATAGCTTCATGGGATGGACCTGGGGAAAGTGATAAGAAAGAAAATTAAACACAATGGAAATTTGATGCAAAAAGACTGAAAACTATGTTAAGTTGTTAACTCTAAACTTGAAGGTGAATTTCAGCTTAGAATGGTCCCATACCCAGTTATCTTTCTGTTGTTCGCAGAACTTTTCCAGCATTTCGATCATAGCAGCCGCAAATTGTTGATCATTGAAATCGGTGTGTGACTCTCGGATTGTACCACTGTCACCACTTACGCCAGTTTCCCAAAGAATTTGAATGATCAACGACAATACCGACGATTTTTCGAATGACAGCGCCTCACTCTCGATCATTGCGTACATTTTACGCAATTGCAACCGATGGCCATCGGCACGATGATCCAAAATTTTTGAATTCCGACAATGTCAAACTTTGTGGGCACTCCTTTTGCCGTGCAATCACTTCATTCTGCGTATGACTCGTTCCATTCAATGCCCACTGCAAGCCACAGTATTCATCCTCGTCTGCTTTCAGAGTGCACACGTTTTTGATGTGTTCATCAGAAATTGGTGGTGGCAACATAAAATCTAAGGCATGGAATCTACAGTTGTAACTGTTTTTAATCACAAATGCATCAAACTCATCGTCCACGTGATATTTTTCACGCAATTGGAACTTCGATGTACTGCCAAGATGAATTTGTTTGCTTTTCGATGCATTAAAATGACAGATTTGTCCATATTCAATCCAGTTTCCTTTGATACCCGCATTTTTACCTTTCTTACCGCTGCAAAATCGCGCAAATTCATAGAGAACATCTCTCAAGCACGCAATTTCAATGGGCGGTTTTAGTTCGAAGACCACGGCATTCTTCTCAAAATCATGCTCTGGTAATGGGCGCTCATATTGCTCCACTGTGACACCTCGGATTTCACGACCAATTCGGCATCTAGTGGAAAAAATTGGGAATTTTAGGTTGGTACATTGAAAAATTCAAATACGGGGACGAAATGATTGATGATAATCAGTTTATACTTACTTTTCACAGAATTTATCATGACGAATTTCACGATTATAACGAGTAAAATAGCTGCACGCTGACGGTCTGCTCATTCGTAGTTGAGCGACTAATTTTCGACCATCTTCCCATTCCTTTTGCTTACTTTCAATTCCTTGTTTCTCGATTACCTTGATTACATCCAGAACGTCTTGCATTTTCCTGTTTTTAGCGGCATACTTTGCAGAAAATGACTTTACAGTGACCGAACTTTCTTCGATTAGGCCCGGATCTTTTGCCTTGCAATTTCGTTTGCAAAAGTATTGACCGAGCTCGCAAGCAATTTCCATATCTTTTTTTTTGTGGAAGCAACAACGAATCGATTATTTTCGGTTCAATACCACTGCGATGTTTACGCAGAAGTGGATGGGCTTTGCATGCATTCAGATCAAGGTGTGCAATCAATTTTAGTCGAACTAAAACCATTTTGCTCATGACCAATTGATCTTTTTTGTAAAAATCCTCAGCAAATCTCGCATAGCACGATAACCAATTGCGAATAGCCTCCGGACTGAATTGATTTTCATCTTTCATGGTGTACAGCACCCAATTTTCGAAATCGCTCCAAATTAAACTGCTTTCAATTTCGTCGTCATCGAATTTCCTAACATTGGGTGCGTTGATTTGATCCATATGATGACGAATAATTGGTTCCATTTGAAAACCAGCTTCGAATAGATTCAGCGTGTTCTCATCATGCCGACTCTCCAAATACTCAATCAAATTCGGAATTTTCTGACAAATATCAGCATCAAAATTCAACTTGGTCAATGACGATAGCTTAGCGTTGGTTTCATCATTCTTCTGCAGTTGCTTGATTTGTTTGTCGATTTTCTGTCGTACCTGATCGATGGTGTTTTTTGCTTGGTATATAACGAGCTCGGATAGCTCATTGAATTGATAACAATTCGACTGGCCCATCAAATGATTGAGTTTTTCGATTCGTCGTGCCAATTTGGCCAGCGCTTGTGACATGAGATCCGTATTCAATGTTTCACAGTCGGGCTTGTTGAAAAAATCCACCATTTGGGTGATAAACTCCAACATTACGATCTTGTACAGTAGCTTTGCTGGATCTGGCCCCAGCTCCACCGTCAGACTGTGCTGCAAAAACACCTTTAGACACATGTAAAAGCTTGATCGACGAAAGAAACTACTTCTACCATCACCCAATGCTTCGTCTCGAATCTTCTTCGTAATCACAGGGAATTCATCGACTTCCACTGTTTCGGTGTTGGCATCGGCGAGCAACGTTACCAACCATTTCGACACATAGTTTCGATTCTTTGTTTCAATTGGCAGTTCTTGGTACAGGAAACATAGTTGATCGGCGAAATCCTCAGACCGCATCATATCGGAATATGGAACTTTTAATGCTTGCACCGGATAATGGAACTATCAGATGAGAATAATTTATCAATGAATTGGAATTTATTTTGTTGGAACAACGATTATTCTAACCTCAATGTCATTTTCCGCACTGCAAATGTGTTTTGGATGAAGCCCGCCTTGAAATGTGGCAACGATTACACGGTCATCATGGCCATTTGGTGGCACGTGAATCATCAGTGCACAATTTTGACGACGGACGAACATTGCAAATGTATCGCCTGGCTCCAGATTACGAATTTCATCGGATATGAAGGACGGTGTCAATGTTTTGTGTATTTCATACAGTCGACGAAACATATTGACTGTGTTGCGTGGAATCCAATCGGCTAAATCATCAACGTCATGGACCATATTCGACAGCAAGGCCAGCTCTTCGTTGTAGAGATTTTTGGAATTCATTTGCGGTAAATACCGAGGCAGGATCACATGATTCATGAGGGCTTCATGCCTGTCTTGATAGGTCGGATTAGGTTCCCGATTCATGTTTGGTACTGTCGCTGTTGACACGAACCAACTGAACAAAAAAATGAACGTGAAATGATCAAAATTCGGAACAAATTATGAAAAAAAAATTCAAACACTTACAATGTACAGCAGAATCTACTCCGGTCAAATGAATCAGGCCTAATGAAATGTCACAAAAGCTGTGAACAATTTTTAATAAGCACAAACACTGCAATGAAAATGTGAGAATAATGACATTAGAAATTACTGTGAAATGTAGGAGAGAATGCTGTTGTTGTAATTCTATTCACAAAAAATAGCAAAAATATCAAAAAAGAATCATCACAAAGTAGCAAACATCAACTAAATCATCACATTTGGTATGAAAAAGTCACGAAACACAAACAACAGAAGAAAATTAAATTGACGAGCATTCACTGAGCAACGAATGGTCAACTCTCTGAGAAAATTGTCGATTCAGTAGAGAAAAAAACGAACAGAACCAACGACAATTGTTTATTCATTGATCATTGACAGCGCCTTTGATTATAGATTTTAGTAAGAAAAAAAAAAACATCAACATTAGGAATGCACAATTGAACATAGAAGTACGTGCCATCACTCAATTTATTGCTTAATTTTTTTTTGCTTAAAATTTCACACCGGCAAATTGTCTGATAAAAACTTCTAAATAGATTTGATTGGCCCACTTGAAATCTATCGTCCGACTAATTATTTTCAATAGATTATTTGTCATAAATTCATCACCAGTCAGTTTGCTCGACAAAATTTTATCAAAGTCATTGATATTACACTATATTTCAAACGATTATGACATTTAACTGGAATGAATCGTATATGAATCTGAATCACTGTAATGCGGTGTCAACGTACATTCGATGAAAATACACTTCACGTCACAAAAGAAGAGTCTGTTGTTGTTTGCATTGAAAACACAATTTTTCTTAACTATAACAGAAACTATGGTCAAAAATACCTTAAAACCGAATCAATTTTTCAATTTTTGGATGAATTAAATCTTGCACAAAAACCTTAACAATTTCGTTTATTTTAACGAAATCCAAATCTCAACTATCTTGAAAGAATAATTTTCTGCTTATTCTAATGATAAATGCGACTACTTCGTATAAGAACACAGCATAGACTGAGATGAATTTTGCTTATGTGCACATTGCTTCAACGAACCTCGGTAGGAAATGACACCACTATATCTGTTCCGCTTGCACTCGCACTTCAGATTTATCATAATTGTCAAACGAACGCGTTAGGGTCTGTGTTCGTGTGGTCACAACACAAACACATTTCTGTTAGTGAGAATGAAAAGCCGAACGTCGAACCAAATGACATATCCACCGTATCGCATTTCATAACATTCTCGCCTTTTTTGTCGATAGCACCAAAATGCATGAAAACATGCGTCTTATTGAAGCAAACAAAAAACTGTGTTATGACTAGAAATATGTCAATTGACCGTAAAAATGAAATGCAGAAAATACTCAAGTTCCGAAAATTCGTTCAACTCGAAAGCGTGAAGTGACATCATTATCGATGAGTTGAAAATGGTTCTGAATTTATGATGGAAAAATATTCTGACTTTTTCAGCAGACAGCCGCATAACCATACCCACAAATGGGTTTTGAACTGAGATCGCTGTTGTATTTTGTTTCATGGAATCCAATCACACGACATTCGTTCAGTACGTTTGTGCTAAAGGGGCTCACTTGAGTGCCAGTCAAAACATTGTTTTTATCGAAGCAATTGACAAACACTTGTAGCGAAAAAGAGAAAGTGCTTGAAAATTGTTCATTTATGATGGGCGATTCTGCTCCGAAAATAGATTTCTTCAGAACGTTCATCTTCTCTAATCAATTGATCGTTGATAATAACTATCAATTTCTAACAAACTCACATATCAACATTCAATGAAGTGACTTCGATGACTTTGTTTCAAGCCGAGGAAAGTTCGCTCAATCAGCGAGTCGCCTATTCAATGTTGAACAACAACAATCTCTTGAGCTAACGAATATACAATTAATTTTTGTTTTCAGTTAGCTTTAAATCATATGACTTTGTTTACTACATTAGTTCGAAAATTCAAACACGTCATGTTACAATCATCAATGCCATCTAATGAAAATTTTATAATCTCACCCAAACCAGATACTAAACTCACCAACAATGAAGCTAAATTGCCCGTTTTAAAATAGAACTAGACAGAAATATTGTTGTTGTTTCGAAAAATGTGTTCACTTTTTATCAAAACTATTCGTCAGAATTCGTTTACTATTAACCTTTACTCCGTGTTTGTGTCTCACACCATATTCCCGTGTATCGGGCATACAGTGCCCATAGCGCATTTTTTTAAATGAAAACTGGACTGTGCTAACTAGTAAACGTATGAGTGTTTCAGAAATTTTTTTCACAAAATTCCACCTGGATTCGATAGTTGAGCTCAAATTATGACGATTGGACCACCCCTTTGAGTTTAAGGGTGACTTAAGATTTACCTATTTTCAAGGGTGGTTTTTATAGTGAAGGGGTGGTTTTTGGGGTTCCGTTGTAGTACTTTGCTCAAGACACCAATTTGTTATATCTTATCAGTTACGCAATATATGTGTAAAACCGTGGAAGGTCTCCCACCATATGGGGTTTTTGATTAAAAAAAATTGTCCAAATTTGCCAAATTTGCCTAGGGCACTGTATGCTCAACACACGGAGTTAATATTAATTTCTGCACTTGGCGAAATCTTATGGAAAAATAATTTTTTTGGCGTTTGAGTAGAGAAAAAAAAATCGGTAGAATGTTTTGAAATAAAAAGAATTACATTGTAATCCCGAACTTTTCCGTACCATTGGCCTGCGTTGTCCGTAGGTACTTTTGGTTATTTTTTGTGAATTTTCTTGAAATAAAGGCAGTGAAAATATAATCAGATGAAAAACCTCTAGACGAGGTTAAAATGTAGTGACGCTCCTGTGCGTGGATTTAACACTCAAAATGACTGATATCATTTTGAGTGACGCTAGGACGCTGGTTTATCTATGGATACAAAGTTCAAAAGTATTTTTCGCATTCACTATTGTGAAAATTTACTCACAATAAGGAAAAATATCTTGCGTCACGACTTTTAGACGGCAAAACGCTTGAAAACTTGATCTAAAATCAAAAGAGTGCCCTGAGAAAATAGCATACTTACTGTATATATACTCGTGACGCAAAAACTGGCATTTTTGATATTTGGCTTGAAATGCACAGTCTATAAAGCGTCACTTGTCGGACTATCGTCCTCCGTGATAATAAAAATAAAGTGATATCGTCGTCTAATAATAAAAATGAAGTGAAAAATCGGTCACTTTAACTAAAACTTCGACAATTTTGTTTGAGAGGTACCCGTAAACCGATTCTCATTGGCTTAAAACTTTCTGAGGTTTCATTTTTTGGAGAAAAATTAAGATTCTGAAAGTTTCATGTTGATCGCATCTGCAGAAGTTTGGTTTTTGGCCCTCAATTTTTTCCAAGAAAATGTCGACAAAAATTGAGGACAAAAAATCAAACTTCTGCAAATGCGATCAACATGAAACTTTCGGAATCTTATTTTTTCTCCAAAAAATGAAACCTCAGAAAGTTTGAAGCCAATCAAAATCGATTAACGGGTACCTCCCATACAAAATTGTCCAAAAATCGGTAATTTTAGTGAAAATTCCAAAAAATTTGTATGGGAGGTACCCGTAAATCGATTCCGATTGGTTTCAAAATTTCAGAATCTTATTTTTCTCTCAAAAAAATGAAATCCCAGAAAGTTTGAAGCCAATCGGAGTCGATTTACAGGTACCTCCCATACAAAAGTGCCATTTTTTTAGGTTTTTCTTAGGGCAAGTACCCCAGGATCAAATCGAAAATGGCTCATCTTCGAACTTA